TGAAAGCCGAATTCTTTTGGAAAGGGTTAAGAGGAGATGTCGAAGACATGGTGAGCAAATGTGATATTTGTCAACGGAACAAGTATCAAGCTTGTGCCCCTAGTGGTTTACTGCAGCCCTTGGTGCTTCCAAACAAGATTTGGGAGGAAGTCACCATGGATTTCATTGAGGGGTTACCCAAGTCGGAAGGATATACGGTCATCATGGTGGTAGTTGACCGTCTGAGCAAGTATAGCCATTTCATTCCACTACGGCATCCTTTTTCAGCTCCTACTGTGGCATCTACTTTCATCAGAGAGGTGGTTCGATTGCATGGGGTCCCCACTTCTATTGTTTCGGATAGGGACAAAGTCTTCTTGAGTTCATTTTGGAAAGAGATCTTCAAGATGCAGGGCACATTCTTGAAGCGGAGTACAGCATACCACCCACAGACAGACGGACAGTCCGAGGTGGTAAATCGGAGCGTGGAGACTTATTTGAGATGTTTCGTTGGGGAGAGGCCTAAGCAGTGGGTCAAATGGCTACCATGGGCAGAATATTAGTACAACACTTGCTACCATACCGCATCTCAGTTTACAACTTTCAGGATACTTTATGGGAGGGATCCTCCACCATTGGTGAATTATCAGAAGGGGATGACCCCTGTATATCTAGTGGATCAATACTTGGAGGAGAGGGATAGGGTGTTGGGAGAGTTGAGGGAACACCTATTGAGAGCCCAGCAGATCATGAAAACCAAAGCAGATTCTCACCGCAAGGAGGTGACATTTGAGGTGGGAGAAATGGTATACTTGAAGCTGCGACCTTACCGACAGAAGACTCTAGCTAACAGAAGAAGTGAGAAGCTCTCCCCACGATACTACGGGCCTTTCGAGATCGAAAGGAAAGTGGGGATGGTGGCCTACCGTCTCAAGTTACCACCTCCATCCTCCATCCACCCTGTATTCCATGTGTCATTATTAAAGAAGAGCATAGGGGAGCACACCGTGGCCACTCCTGTCATACCACAGGGCCTCACAGGAGATATGCAATTCTTATTGGCGCCACTACAGGTGAAAGAAGTGAGGAAGAATGATCAAGGCAAGAGGGAGGTACTCATCGAGTGAAAGGACCTTCCGACGCATGAGGCTACTTGGGAGATATACGAAGTCATGCAGGAGCAATTTCCAGACTTCAACCTTGAGGACAAGGTTGATCTTCTAGAGGGCGGTATTGATGGACCGGTTCACCAACCGGTCCATCCACCCCGACCCCTGAGGGTCTACGGACGGACAAGGCACG